TTGGTGCGGTTCGTTTTGTGCAGGTGTGAACACAATAGTCATACTCAGGTGCAGACATAAACCCCCCCCAAAAAACACTGAGACCCTTTGAAAAGAGTTAGTCTCAGTATGTTCCAAACAAACCCCAGTGCAGTTTATTTTGGGGGTAAATGTGATCTAACCCCGATCCAGACCAACTACTAGGTGTGTGCTACAAGTTTGAGCTAAAGAATGAACAGATAGCCATGCATGCTTTGTATTCTTGATGTGGGAAGTTACTATAGATGTGCAAACCTCTGCACGAGCTAGCAACTAGCTGTGAAATGAATGTAAATTTTCCATTTTCTCACACAACACTTTCTTCCTGTCTTTACTTTTATGCTCCCACCCCAGACACATCTGGCCAATGAGCAGACTGAACTTTTTCACATGAGTTGTAGTGACACATTTGGGAGTTCACTTTGATTTTTCTCTGTGGGAACATATCCAAACCACAGAATAAAGCTACATGTTTACAAACTCATCAACTGATTCAGACCAGAGTAAATGAATTATAAGTCCGCAAACACCCTAAGTGATTGGTTCATTAATACTTACAGGTCTGACTTTGTCCAGCAGGGGCATGCCTTTGCTCTGTACAGCGTGGAACTGCAGCTGGTTGAACTCTGTTGCAATCCTTTCTAGGATCTGTCCTGCTAACAAGGGGCTGTGAATAAAGAAAAATAAAAACCCTCACAATAAAAAAAATAATAATAAAAAAAGAGGATCTATGGAAAATGGTCTGACTCGCAAGATAGCATTATGTCCCTGCAAAGACCAAGCTCAACAAAACATAACTCCTGATGTGATGCCTGGGATCTGGTTTGAATTTTTCTTAATCATTTCAGATATAATTTAACAATCTATCAAGTAATACACAGATTGACTAGATTAGCATGTCAGCTCTCTACCTGCTGATCTCCAGAGAGCTGGATTCCTTGGAACTCTGTGAGTGAAGGATTTTCTCAATCTTCTCCACTGATCGTACAACCTGAATCAGCCTCATCACACACACCTGATTGATGGTGACAATGAAAGGGAGAACTGAGCTTGCTATGGGCTTAACATAAAATTAATACAAAATACAGTTTGGTCAAAGCATAAAGTCTGACTGTAAAAAAAAGAGGAGCCAAACCTTTTTTTTCTGCAGGTCCTCGTGCTTTGACAGCTGGTTATCTATCGCCTGTATCACCTCACTAACACAGGACCGCAGACTCTGCAACAAATAACAACCAGAGAAAAGTACTCAGTGGCAGGAAGTAATTACAGTCGGAAGTATATTTATTCAGACAAGAACGTACCATAACCTCCTCACGTAACTGTCCTAATGGGACAGAAAGCTGATTGAGTGCTTTGTCCATCCCAACCTAAGATGAAGGAGCAGACGTCAGATTAGGCCCAGGCTTTATTTAAGAATATTAAAACTGTAGGATTTGTTTAACTGTTCAGAAGCATATTAACAGACCAAATACTAGATTCATAACTGTTAATAACAGTAAGTCACAGATATTTTGCTGAATACATTGCTCTGAAAAAAAAAAAAAAAGTGGAAAAGATGGAAATTCCTGTTATGATTTCTTGCCACAAGCTGACAATTTATAGTCAAACTTTGTCCAAAACAAATTTGTGATTCAGCATGGGAAAAGCCAGCGAAGGACACAAGAGCCCCAGCTGCACTTAAAAATGGCCAAATGCAATCAAGAACAACCAATATTTGTAATGTTTATTATTATAATCTTAAACTCTGCAAAGATCTCCCAAAACTATCCAAATAATAATTGTTACTGAACAGTACCGTAACAATTATTTTTTACTGAACAGTAACAATTATTTGGGTGCAAAAACTGCAAATAAACAGTGCACTGGCCTTATCTGGTAAACCTCTCGACTATAAGTAGAAAACCCCATGTTTGGCTCTGCCAAAATTTGTCAACTTTGTGACGCAGCAGACTTTTGCGCACTTAGCCTGTGACGATAACGCTGTGTGGACTGTGACTGATCAATGGTGGCTTGAATACCTTTTGGCATTTTTAAACCACAAGTGTAATAATTTATGAACATACTACAAATGAGTATTCATCTTTCTGGATAAGTTCTGCACCACAGAAATTCAAAGGATGGATACTTCATTCCATGTTTGGCACTGATCACCACCTGCACTCATGTATATATCATGTATATATCTATCCACTTAGCACTTTTAATTCTTATTCTTATTTTTATATTTTTATGACAGTATGTTTGCACTGTAGCACCGCAGCAATTTCCTAATGTTGTAAACCTGCTCAACATTTGGCAATAAAACCCTTTCTGATTCTGATTCTGATTCTACAGTTTGACATTTCATTTTCCAGTTAAAAATAATCATTAAAAGATACACCAAGAAAGATTTGTTTTACAGTTTCATCTCAAAGTTTTGAAGTCTAGTAAGCATGAAAAGTTAAAAACTTGAATGCAAGTTCAATAAGTAAGATCCGTAATCACTCATCTGCCTGCTTTCTTGGGTGTTCAGGCTGATACGCTGTCAAACTCAGTACAGCCATCATTACTTATCCAATCATTTTCTTGCCTGCTATCTCCACACCAATCAGTCCCCATTCTATGTGCTTTAAACCTCACTGCTCTTCTATCTTTCTGCCTTTCAGGCAGCCGCCTTCTCCCCATTGCCATCTCACACTGATCAGTTACAGCCCAATCCAAGCCTCCGTCTTCATCTTCTCCTCTAGTTAGGGTCCTGTCATAACTTCTTACACTGCTAGGATTTTGTTCTGCTATGATGGGCTAGAGTCTAAACGCCAATTCAATTCTCTTTCTTACTAAATCATTGTTCCCAACGGCCTCTCCTTATTGAAACAGAAAAGTATGAAGTGCTCACATTTTCGAAGTTGAACCAGCAAAGGTTTGCTTGATTAGTTCTACAGATTTGGCCATTTTTCCCATCACTTAATTTACAAATTAAATCATTGAGTAGATCTAATAACTGACAACACATACATTCTGTTTATTTACATAAATAAAACAATACCTACCAATAATAATGACTGATTTATTAGCTACATTTCATCAAGGCAGTTTACAATTATGTTAAATTTTAAATTACACCAAGGGACATCCTCCTGTTGGCTACTGTTTCTAAACTTTACACATTTAAAATTACAGTTACTGCAATTAGATAACATGAATAACAACTGACCAGGTTGGTAGAGAGGTTAACAAAGTCTGCATAGTCCTTGTTGATGAGCTCCACCATGGCTGTTTTCAACAGCTTGTAGTAGAGCTCCAGGTCCTCTCTCAGTTCTTCCAGCTGGACCTGTTTCCGACACTCAGCCACAAACTGGTCAACGTCAAAGTCATCCTGCAGACACAAAGGGAAGAAGGCAGCATGCATTCAACGACACATTAACTCTGGTCACTTTGATAGGTACATCTTGGCCCTCCTTTTGGTTTGAGAACTGCCTTAATTGACTGGTGATAGACTGAACATAGATTCGGAAAGATCGGTGCCTTTCCTGTTCTTGAAATGCCACTCATTTCAAGAACAGGAAAGGCACCGGTGTGTGTGGTGCATTCAGAGATGCTCTTCTGCATAGTTTGGTTGTAACATCTGGTTATTTTAGTTACTTTTGCAGCTCTATCAGCCATTCTCCTGTGACATCGACGAGGAATTTTCACCCAGAGATCAGCTGTTCACTGCATATTTTCTCTATTTTTACACCATTCTCTGTGAACCGTATAGAGGGTCGTGTAGGGAAATGCCACGTTTAAAGCCACTTTGATCACTCTCATCCCTCCTTTTGATGGTCGGTTTGAACTTCAACAAGCCAAGTCTAAAACTCGTCCACACGAGCAAACGCTTTGGATTACTGCCATGTGATTGGCTAATTACATATTTACATTTCTGAGTTAACAAGCACTTGGACAGGTGTACCTAACAAAGTGTCAGGTAAGTGCTCAAACTGCAATCCTCAGGCGTCGACTGTTTCACGCAGAAACGCCTGCATGTTGCCTGTTATTTAAGGTTACTCTGCTGGCTCGGTAAAAACATTCATATCTACTGACTGGTAAACCTTTACTGACACAGGAGCATCAGAATGAACGTCCACTATCGACATTTAGCTAGCCTAATGCTAGCTAGTTTGACAACCTAACGCTTTAACCAGCATTTACACACTCTTACCTTCATAAAAACATCCTTATCGAAGCACAGAGAATCCGGTCCCTTTGGTAGATTCATTTTTATAAGAAAACACAACTTGAAGCTACAGTCAAAGAAATGACGACCAGCCTTGAGCTAGCTGCAGTCAAGCTTCCGCAAACATGGCAAGCGCACCAACGAAGAAGACAGTGATTAAGATAATACTCCTGCGCCCCCTAGAGGCCCCATGCAATGTGACCACAGTGCATTGAGACCGCAGGGGTCGCTGTTGAATATAACCTAAATATTTTAATATTTAAATAAATAAAATGGTTTGTTACTAATAATTTTGGATTTCAGAGTAGTCACATAAAATTGCTCAAAACTTTTAGGTGCTCAATTTTTTATTTCCAAATGCCATTTTGTTAATTTGCAGTATATAGAAAAAAAATAATTAAAACTAAATCCGCATTCACTGTGACAGTCCTTTCCAACATCAACAGCGTTTCTCTTTTCTTTGCAGTAGATATGAAAAGAAAAATCTATTTTAATCCATATATTGAGGTCTTGTTTAATTAATAATTCGCGATGGCCAAAAGATGAGTCTGTTTTCGCTAAAAAATGCTTCTAAATATCAAAATTAATTAATAAATAATAGTTGTAATTTTATTATATCTATAATCTAATAAAATAATTTTGAAATTTAATTTTCCTCATTGTCATTTTCTGCGTCCATCATTATTATTCTAGCACTGTATTATCGTTAGTCATCATAATCTTCCTTCACCTCAGCTTTAGCAGCTGCCATCAGCCGCACCGCTCCTGTCCGAGTTTGCTTTAGAAAGTGAAATCTTATTGGCTGGCGGTGCAGCGCTACGGCGTCAGGTGATTCAGTGCCAGCCACTACTCTCGCTATTCCTCGGAGTGGATAAATAACTCGCTGGTCTCTCAACCCGGATGCTGAGCCAAAACTATTGATGATTTTGCCCAGTGAGCAGCGCTGTGGGCAGAGCAAGGGGGCGGAAATATTCCAGTACCCTTGAAGCGGACAGCTGCCACCGGATCTACACTCTGCTGACCACCGGGCTCCGCATCCGAGCCGGGACGGCAGGTGGATCATAATTCATACCAAACACAGGGGAGGGTGTAATCGCCACACTGACTGACGGCAAACACGTCTCCTGCTCCTGCAAGATCGTGACCACTTGCACGCCACTGAGGAGGTAGTGAAAGGGTGAAAAAGAGAGTGGAAGAAAGAGAAAGGGGGGGAGGAGAGAGGAGCATCACTACAGAGAGAGAGATGGCGGAGTGCGGGCGGAAGGCGCTGTCTCTCCTGGAAGCGGCCCGCTCCCGGTACGAGAGCCTGCAGATATCCGACGACGTGTTCGGCGAGTCCGGGGACGACAGCAGCGACAATCCCTTCTACAGCACCTCCGGAGACTCCGACTCTGATAACTACATAGCCGAGGTAGGTGAGGAGGATCAGCAGCAGCAGCAACAGCCACCGCAGCAGCAGCACCACCACCATCACCACCAGAAACGAGGCGATAAGGAGAGTGGACACAGCGGGGGGACAGGAGGTGGCAGCGCAGCAGGACCCCCCGGCTCCCTATCCCGTAGTCAGGCAGAGGAGGAGGGCTGGACGGAGACTTTGCAGGATGTCACGGTCCCGCCGTACAATGATACATACGGTGAGGCACGATGGATGGGCTAATTTTTGCACTGGTGGGGAGCAAATGCTCACGGCTGTGTAGTGATTGGATAGACACAGACAGGAGTGCAGTCCGTGTTCACATTTTTCAGGTCAGGCAGGCCATTTCTGTTTGTCACAACAGCCACAAAGCAACTACTGCTTCTTTTTTTTTTTAAACAACTGAATACTGCTCTCGTTTTTATCTCTCTCCTCTCTCTCTCTCTGTGTATGTGTGCGCTTCTTGCTTGTGTGTAGTGAGGAGAGTAACAGAGAGAAACATGACACATGCATCGTTAATTGCTTTATTAAGTTAATGGCAAAGGCTTAACCTTTGATGCATCACCCCTTGGTGCTGTTGTAGACATGCTGTCTTATGTGTATGTGCTCATGTTTCAGAGCTGTTTCGTTTAGAGAAACGGCATGAAGCCTCTCCTGGCTCCATGCACATGTATTATGTGCATATTTTAGAATAAAATAAATAAATAAATGGCACATTTTGTTGCATATAAACTCAATGTGCATAACAAGAAATATCTATGCACTTTATAGAGCCACAACTTAACCTAGCATGCATGCCTTCTGATGCTATGTAGGTGTGTGCATTCATGCAGAACTAATGCACAAATGCCAGCCTTTGTCCACTGGTACCAACAGCTTAAATGTGAGACATAAGCTCAGAGAATCCTGATTTATTCATTCGGTTATTTTCCTTTTTAACTGCACACTTCTGCAGGTCTGTTTGTGTGTGTGTGTGTGTGTGTGCGCAAAGGAGAGACATTTGTGTGCATGAATCGTGACAGTTAAACAGCAGTGTGTGCACCCACACTGCTCCTTCCTCTCTACCACACCATTAGACTGTCAGTCTTAAGAACAGTATTTATTTATTTAGTCCATTATAGATCAGAGAGTGGGGTTTGGGGTTTATAGTGCAGCTCTTTCAGTCAAGCTATGTTTGGATTGGTTCTCCTTGTCCATCTTTCCTGCCTCTGCTGAAGCCAAAACGATTTGTGAGAATGCCATCCTGTTTCCACCGTGACAGGATGCACTGTTGCAGACTTGGAGGGGAATCGGCATATGGCTGTAGTAGATACGGACCAAGCCCCAGTGTGCTGGCACACTACCTAGTAGGAACACACTTATTCAAATGAATAAAAAGCCCTGGCTGTAGATAACCTGCCAAGATGCCACTGCAAAGTAAGTGAACAGCACTCGCTGTTTGCAAAGAATTGTTCCCAAGCTGTTCCAGTGCAGCAAACACCGAAATGTACTACATGATCATTAAAAAAAAAACCCACATATGAACAAATGAGATAAAGCTTTTAAATGTTGTTTTGGAGCTATTTGGTTCAAGAAACAGCCTGTTCCAATAAACAGAATACTAAAAAAAAGACACATACTAAATAACATTTATTTCTGGATTTTTTATTTTTATTTTTCAGATCCAGCTAACTTTAATAATCCTGCTCTGGGATAATCTGAGCCTGGATATAAAGTGGTGTCTGTTTTAAGCACCCAAAATAGTCTGAACCAAGCTGCACTGAGCTGGGGTACCATAAGAGGTTCTTGCTGTGCCACAAATGTTAGAGGATGTTCAGTACTTCTACATCCTGGAGTGTCTGACTCTATTTAGCTGTTGTGACTTTGTTGACTTAAGCTAGGGTGGCAGCAGGTGTGTTTGTATGGTCTGGTCTGATTTGTTAAAAATGCAGTCAGTGTCTGTTTGCACAAGCCACTGTAACTCTAGGCCTGCCATCCTGTATCAGGGTAGGTATGATTAAAAGCGTGGATGTAGTACTGCCAGAGCGCATAATCACACTTCAGACCTCAAGTAGCCAAGACCTTACTCTGACTTAATCAGCCTGAACAGATAAGAATGACTCCATCCTGAGCAGCATGTCTGCATAAATGTGCGTCTCCGCAGATTTTAATGGCACGAATGACGTTTCGGCAAAGTCGGTCAGTGCCCGTCTGTCTGCCTGCCCATTTCTATGTCAGTCAGTGCGTGCTGACACAGGATGTTCATATGTAATATGCTGTCTTCAAATGAGTTTGTGATGGTTGCCCCTGCAGTGCGAGGCGGGTGGCAAATGACTAGACCAAAGATTATGAACCGTAGCTCTTAGATTATATAAGCACTTTATCATGATGTCGAAGGGAATTAAAGAACTATTTATTGCTTCACTTTGCTGAAGCTGACTGAAAGATTACTGCTCCTGTCCATATGTCAGTTCATCTGCCTGACTGTGTATTGCTACCTTGTCTGCATGAGATCTCTCAGCCATTAAAAACACTTAGACAAAGATGCATTTTATTATATTTATACATAATATTCTCTATCAATCACATAAAGGTAGAATGCTGAAGTAATTGGACTAAACAACACAAATGAAAACGTTTTTGCTTAAAGACAGTAGATATTGTTTTATTTGTAAGTCAAAAAAAAATTTAATCAATAGTCGCGGTGGTGAGAAATTGCACTTAGGTGCTGTCTCTTTAATTTCCACTAAAAACTGAACTCGGAACACATTTAGTCTATGTAAGGGTTGATGCACTTCAAATACACAGTAATCTCTCCTACTAAATCCATGGCTATAAAAGCTCTACGAGACAGATGTTTGTCCTGGGACAATGGAAATGCCACAACAGCTGATAATCGCGAGGGATTATACCTGTCTGTGTGTGCACTGTAGGTGGATTTTTCTTTTGAGCAATGTGGGAAATCGATATTTATAGGACTGCCACATAGACTAGCATCAGCTGAAAGAAGAGTTATGTAAATGATTAATCCTGTTTCATCTGATTGATGCGGGCTGGACTGACGTTGAGCTGGCAGGGCTACTCAAAGAGGAAGGTTGTGTTTGCTCAGCAGCAGCAGATGAGACAATTCTATTATCCAGGAAAATGACGAGTCCTTCCTCACGCTGTATTTGTACCTCCCTTCTGAGATGAGTCGTGTTAAATCATTTTGCCTCAGTAGATCTTCAGTCTGAACGTCTGATGTTTTTATTCAGGGGTGGACTGGAAGTCCTGTTGAATATTACCTTCAGCTTTCAAGTCTAATTGGATGTGAATGAGTTGATCTTTGAGCTGTGCCCTGGCTATTTCTGTGTCTTGTCTGCAAGCATCAACTGAGTGGGAGTGCTTGTATCCCACTCTGTCTTTTCTACACTTCATGTCTTGTCCTCCTGCACACTTTTAACAGTGTACTATATAGGTTGAAATCGTGTGTGTTATCGTTAAATCTGCAAAGAAAAGAGCCTTCATTATTTTAGTTGCAGCCAGCTACACAGGGCCTGAGAAGGGAGAGTAAAAGCCTTTTTTTTATGTTGTTCTGAGATAATGAGATTGTGCTGTTCAATCGAGCCAAAAGATGTTCTGCTCAAAGTCCAAATTACCTCTCATGGATCCAACAACCTGAGAGTGAACCAAAGCCAGTTAACTGCACTGAGTATCGACTGTGTGGCTCCAAAGCTACATCCAAAGGCAGACGGACAGAGAGCTTTTTAAATGGGAGATAAATGTTATCTCGTCCTTAACCAGCGAGGGAGAATAATTAGGTCAGGCAGAAAAGTCCCGACTACGCTTCACTGTTGCTGCCATTAGCACATTTTAGAAAACAGCTCTGATTCTTTGTTGATTAATTTTAGTTAAATTACCTATTTATCCATTGCCTTTAGCTAGTTTTGCTGCTAATTCATTAATTATGCCATTTCAAACATTTATACCGCAGCTGATGAACCTTTTTTTTTTCATATTTGAGCATTTATCTATTGCTTTTAACAATTCTTTGATGTTAATGTTTGTAAATACAGTTATTTTAATTGTGTCAGGGCTTCTTTACTTTAAGCCAACAATTTAAGTTTTCGTTCAGTACTTCAAAGGATAGATCAGTCCCATCTCCATATTTTACAGTTTAACCGCGTCCTTATTTATCTTATGTTGGGCTAACTCTCTTCAGATTGGCAGCACCTGACAAACAGAAGGTTTGAACAGCATGTGTCTAGAGCTGTGGGTTGTGAAGACCATATTAAGAGTATTCCCTGTATTTGACAATGTCTAAAAGTAGCGGGAAAAAACGACTCAAACAGTGTTGTTATTTGAAATTTTGGCCACGTGAGTGTTATTTTGAATGTTTATTCTTTAAGCTGTTAGCCACAGTCACACATAGGCCACAGTCTGGCATAGAGACCAGTTGGCGACTTCTTAGCAACCACCGTTTCCTAGGGAAAATTGTGCATACCTCAACCAGTTAGTGAGTGGTTGCTGGCAGTGACTAGGTGAAACTGATCTAAAAGGGATATACGGTGCTGCACAGACAAGTTTCTTGTGAGCGGTTTGATCATCAGCACAATTAGCATGGTTCATGTCACTGTCACTTCACAGCCACCTGTTCTCTCTGCCTATGTGACCAAGGCCTACACTTTTAGACATCTCTTTAAGTTGTTCTTATGCTGCAGTTTCAAAAAAGAAGCTTCTTGCTTGTTAACATAGACTTTCAATAGATTTAAGTAGTACATTATAAGGACTAAACACTGTACACTGATCACACAAACTTTACAACCACACACAGATGAAGTGAAGCTTCTGTGTTATTCCACAGGTTTAGATACATTCAAATTTCATTAATAAAAAGGCAAATCATTCTGTATAAACAAAACCATCAGTCAAATTAATTGAAATAGTGCAGATGTTTTTTAATGGCTCATGGCTCGCAAACATTAAAGCGTGATTTTGACTTATTGCCTGCCGTAACACAAAAGCAACAAGACACTGAAGCCTTCCGCAAGCATAGAAATGCCACACTTTGACTGGCACCACAGTGTGGTGGTTGTCAGGTCATGTAAACTTTCTAACTGCTGCCCTGGGCTTATGACATTCATACCCAAAAGCTGCTGATGCACGAAGTGTACTGCGTTCCTCTGATGTTTTGTTTTTTTGGGGTGTTTTTTGCTACAATGTAACACCTAAAATTAATTGGTGCTTTATGTTACTGTTCTCAAGATTCTTTTGAGATGTCACTGGAGTTTATATAAGCAAGAATGAGCCTGTGTGCATCCCACACAGCTTTGAAGATGACAGCTCAACAAAATGATATTTTATTGTGTCAAAAAAAAACCCTTCTACTCAGCAAAGTCAATCAAATTGAAGGCTTCGTACCAAAGTTAAAAAGCTGCGCGTAAGTGACAGTGCTGTGTGTGACTTATCCCATGTGCGATTCTCTGTCTGTCAATCAGCATAATTTCTTTTGTCATAACATTTAACTTTTGTCCTTTTTCCCCAACACAGGACCTGCTCAAAAGATGCCGGCCACCGCTACAGCCTTGGACTTTTTCCAACTCTTTGTCCCAGACAACTGCATCCAAAACATGGTCACTCAGACTAACATGTATGCCAAGAAGTTTCAGGAGCGGTTCGGCTCAGACGAAGGCTGGCGTCCCGTCACGGCCCAGGAAATGAAAGCGTTCCTGGGCTTTGTCACCTCCACCAGTGTGCACCGCTGTGAGTCAGTGCTCAGCATCTGGAGCTCGGGCTTTTTCAGCAACCAAAGCATCGCCTTGAAGATGAGTCAGTCGCGTTTTGAGAAGATCCTCAAGTACTTCCACATTGTGGCTTTCCGACCATCACAAGGAAGCAACCAGGGCCTTTACAAGATCCAGCCCTTCCTGGACTCGCTGCAGCAGTCCTTCAGCTGCACTTTCAGACCATCACAAACACAGGTGTGTGCGTTGCGACAGGTGGCGTTTTCTTCAAGCCTCTCTTGATATTTTTAGATGCTTTCTTTCAGCTGGCAACAGATTCTTCTTGCCTATAGGAGCACCACATTTTAACAGCACAGCTACATTTTATTATGCCTCATGAATTGCGTAGTATAAAAAGAAACGACCAAAGTTCCAGAAGTCATTTACAGGTGATGATGTTGAGGAAATCACTTTTTAGTCATCCACATCCAAAGTTTTGCTGTGTCAGCATGTTTATGTGTTCCAGTGCAATATTAACTTTCTGACCTGGAGCCATAACACATTTACACAGATGCAGAATGAGAAGGAAGAGGACAGTAATCAGTAGGTGGGGTATGAGTTGCATGTAGGTGTAGTTGCAAGGGGTATGCCAAGAGATTGCCTTATACATAGTTGTAATTTAATTAGTTTATCTCTTCTCTGACAAAATCATTTGAGCTATTTAGTTTTAGATGTAAAGCAAAAGAGAAATTTGTTGAATGACTGTTTTCAATTCAATTTGTATTTATACAGCACCAAATCACAAGGCCAGCCATATAGCTGAGAAAGCTATATGCAGTGCTGCAGTTTCACTGGAGGATATGTTTAAATATGGTAAATGGACTGGTTCTTATGTAGCACTTTTCTACTCTCATTGAGCACTGAAAGCGCTTTATACAACTCGTGCATTCACACAAGCACTTTATCTAAGGCTTTTTTTAGTGCTTCTATCTAACATTCACTCGCATTCACACTCCGATGTGCATCGGCGAGTAAATTTTTTAACAATGCTTCAAGTATTGCAAACCAGCTCATAGCTCCAGCAGAATGAATATATATATACACACACACACACACACACACACACACACATACACATACACACATACATATGGGGGCGCACTCTGTTTTACACAGGCTTCCCCTGCAGAGGAATCTTAACTTGTGTATCCGATCCACATTTATGCAACTAGGCCAGTGGAGCACCAGCCTTGTTTCTCTATTTTGGGTGGGCTGGACTTTTTTTCAACTTTCCTACTTTACTTTCTTCTCTGGATGAATTCATCACTCTGCATCACTGGAGATTTAAAAGTACCCCAAATAACCAGCCTGCCTAAAATCAGACTGATCTTTCACCACTGTGCCCTTTTTAACTTAATTTTTTTTGTATTATTTTGACATGACGGCAAAAAGAGGAAGCTTTTGAATCAGTTTTCTCTTTAGGTGTGTTCTTCTTGAGCAAGAAGGCACAACAGAATTTACCACGACCTTGTTTACGTAAATCTGATGAAAATGTAACATTAAAAATGTGTCTGATTGCTCCCAGAGTTCAAGCAAAAAACAAAGATCTTACATAAGACGCAGTTTACTCTTAAAGTATTTGTTAGTAGAGGATACGGCATTGCATACAGTTCCTATAAGGGCTTTTCTTTCTTTCATAATTATAGCTAAAATATTGCAACTTAATATTCTCAGTCTTTTGCGCAGGACACTGGGGTTGCTTTCAAAAATAAGTGAACAAGTTGATTTATTTGCTGTTGTCTTTCTACTGTATGAGTGCTACAACATCATCTTCATTATGAAAGATGATGTCAGTTCTGTGATGGGAGCATTTGGGAACACAGGCACTTAAAAGCAATGCCCTCCTCATATATCATCCACATCTAATTCATCTGTGCAAATAGTTTAAATATCAATATTTTACTCTTTATTTCATTGCAGCATAGTCACTGGTTGGGTGTAGTGTGTTAACTTAAATCTAAAAATGACAAAACTGAGCCAGTGAGGTCAGCAAGTGAGTGTCGTTGGCAGTGACGGGGTTTATGTGAATCTAGGCCAGTTTGTTTTATCAGTTCATCTTCTGTATTTTCTGCTCCCGATAGTCTCTCAGAGTGGACTAGAAAATACAGACAGTCTGAAACTGTAGCTCCACTGGCAAGGAAAAAGCAATCTTCTCAATAAATGACTGCCTTCTGAGAAAGAGGGAAAGAAACAAGTGTAGTTGTTGAACTCTGAATGGCAGATAATAATGGTTTTAAATGGGATGTATTTAAGTATTTGATTTTTTTAGTCATGTTGCTGCTAGCCTGGTAGCTCGATCCTTTCAGTTCAGTTTTATTTCAGCAGTACCTTCAAGGGGCTGTATATTGCAAGGTAAAAACCCTACAAAATACTCAAGAGAAATTTCCAACAATCAGACGATCCCAGTGGGTGACAGTAGGAAGGAAGAATTCCCTTTTGACAGGAAGAGGCCTCAGCAGAACCAGGCTCTCAACCAGGGGTTAAGAAGACGCCTACAGATTGGCATTGCCAGCATTGGCAGCTGTCCACTTCCTGCTGTGACAAAACAAATTTCCCACGTGTGGGACTAATAAAGGTTATCTTATCTTATTGTTGCTGTTGTTGGGCTCCACGCAGTCCTTGAGCTGCCTCTCCAGTGAGTATGGAGTAAGGCCCTGAAGGTGACAGCTGTTGTGAACTGCTGCTGCATGAATAAAATTGAACTAGACTAAATTGAATATAGTGCAACTCCAACAGTGGGGAAACAGTCGTTGTTCAGCTCTCCAGGAGAACAAATCAAGAGACCCATTTCAGAGGTCACTAATATACATTAGTAACAGCTAGGTGGTCAGCTCCCAGACAGGTAAATGTAGGAGTAGGGGGGGCGTAGCAATGCAATATTGAAAATAGACATAGTTTGCATCTAACAGTTAATCATGTAGAGAAGAATTATGGGGGGAAAAATGCGCTCTGTTTTTTTTTTCTCTAATAAACTCTAGCATGTTCCTCGAGATACTCCTAACAGTGATGCGTCGCATATTCTATGTCCATTAGATCTGTGCTGGGGTTAGTTTTGCATTCGCTCAGATCATGTCTGGACTGCTTTATTGCTGCTGTATTGATTTGCAAGTGTAAAATAATTATTCAGAAAGCCATTAGAAGACATTCACTCGAAGACGGTGAACAAATGAATGGTTTTATTTTCTCAGACAAATGATTTACTTCAAACATTTTGAAATGTAATCACTTTGGTTTCAGCTGTAATAAGATGAGAGAAGACGTCACTGTGCAGCTGTGCCGCAGCTACAACATGAATTATTTCTTAGGCTGTTGTGGTCTGGGTGACATCATCCATCCGAAGTCTAGATGGCCTCATTTATTTTTAACTTTTATGACTCCGTGGTTCCATATTTGACTGGAAAATGACTTGTTGCTAGAGCAGCACGGAGGTGCTGGTCGCCACTCGGTTAGTCAAATCATGATGGGCTGGGTGGGAAGAAGAGGCAGGGAAAACACCGGAGGAAGGGAGAGCCCTGAGAAATTTAAAATGCAAATATTTGCCGAGTATCAAAACCAATGTGTATCTTTGGATTTATGACTGTTTGCTTTTAAAATACTTTCTTTGTTTCTCGTTCACCGTTTGGAAATTCCTCTTCCGTATCTGATATGACTCATCCTAGTATTTAGGAAAATAAGGGGGGGAGACTTGCACATTCATCCTAGTATTTAATGACTGTGGGCTTAGGGGAAATAATATAGAACATACAAATAAAAATCAGTTTGTAACAACTGTACATTTCATATCAAACCCAGTTCTGACAGCTGTCCAGAATGCAAATATATTCAGCTTAGTGTCATAGAAAGCAAAGAAAATCAGTTTTAGTTAAAGAACTTATGAGTAATGAGTATATTTAACTCTTTTTTTTTTTTGTGTGTGTGTGTTAAATTGATTGTCTTAAAGAATGAGAATCATAAAATCGTGTGTTTCTAAGGGCACCCTGAATTTTCTTCTTATACAAATGAACACCTTTTTTTCTCTCTCTCTATTTTTGCCACTCCGAGAAAAAGTTAGTCACACCTTATTTATTTGTGGATTTTATTTTGTTTTTTTATATATTTTTGTCTATTTTCATTTGAATGGAGAATCATCCATGCTAAAAAGAAAACTAAATATAAAAAGGCTTCCACTGTTTGGATGAATCCAGGCAGAGAAGGAAGTTATAATGTATAAATGTAAAAGGTATGGACAACGTGAAGATGAAACATCAAAATGAAGTGAAAGTGACAAGGCAGAAGTTATTTTTCGGAGGGGTTTGCAAACAGAGCTGCACGAGTGAGAACATGTTTCTGCTGACAAAGTGGTTTTTGTTTTTTTTACTATCACGCTCAAACACATACAGGACTTGCGAGAATCTTCAGTTGGCCGCCTTCTCTCTTTAAACTCTTGGTGTGGTATTAAATCATACACAATCTCATTCTTATCTCTCACACAGGAAGCCTCACAAGCGAAAACTAGTTATGTTCATTAGCACCTTTTTGCTTTTGATGAGGCTATGCAATGTATGTATGTAAAAATTCACTTAGACCCATGTTTCAGGTTCTTCATGAGCCCTTGATAGATGAGGACCCAGTGTTCATCGCCACTTGTACAGAAAGAGAGCTGAGGAAGAGAAAGAAGAGGAAGTTCAGCCTCTGGGTCCGACAGTGCACCTCCACCGGTTTTATCTGTCAGGTATCTGCACACAATACTCGATGTGTTTGTATGTGATTTGGAGACACGGAGGTGGGAAACTTCCTTCAGAATCACAATTGTTTCAGGTGTGATTTGAGAGTGAAAAATTACATTAGAGAAGATGAAAAAGAAATGATTGCATGTCTTTGTCTGCTTTGATTCTATTTTGATTTGCTGCTTTGCAACTTCATGGCAGAAATATAAAATTTGTTTTATTAAATATGGCATACAGAAGTCTCGAGCGTGCCTGAAGTCAAGTAAGAAAGGCTTTCATGAAAATATCAGAGGCTTTGATCTTCGCTAGATTTCAAATCTTATTCTTTGAATGTTGCATCATTTAGCATTCAATCTATTACTTTTCACAGAAAATTATTATATATTTTTTTTATACTGGTAAATTTATGTGCAACAAACTGCACGGTTTGAGTTTAAAATGGATCACATGAAAAGCCTTCTGGGTAAAAAAATATTGTCTTTTGATGTTGGTTTTGAGTGGAAGCGCTACTAGCTCAAGCAGGCACATCTCAGGCAGGCAGAGCTGCTCTGACTAACAACCTTGTCCTTACTGCAACCTTCCACTCCTACGCCGGTTGGTTATGTAATACACCCATTTAACTGAGACCCTGCATGGAAGGACTAACAGACCTGTCCAACTCTGAGCATTACAGAGCTCATTATACAGTGGGAAAACAAATTCAAATTCAAATTTTATTTGTCTCACACACACACAACCATACACAGTATGACATGGGGGGAAACAAGAGAGAACATGCCCCAAAAGATTTTGTTCGTGCAGTTTTTTTTGCTAAACTTGATGCACTTTTTATGCATCAGCCTTCCTCAGTGTTAATCATAGTGTGCATGTTGTGCAGGTCACCCACATTCAGCCACCCACACACATGCAAGCTCACGCAAGCAAACACACAAACATTTGCATTGGTATACTTGACAGGAGACCATGTTTTTAATACCAGTGATACCCAGCTACAGTTTATTAGTTAAAGGCTTCTGCTCCCTCAGTGGAGATGAATGGAATTTCACTTGTGCTCACAGCAATGAAAAACGACATTAGAAATTCGACATCAACACATATTTCCAGAAAGACTGCCCTACTTACTCAGACATATCACTTCTGTTAGAGGAAGAGTTTTATAGGGTGAAACTTGTTTGTTTGTTTGTTTTTTCGTTTATTTGGTCAACAATCACCACAGCTATGTCATCAAGTAAATAGGAACCCCAACCGTTACCTTAACCTAAATCTTATTCTGACCACCAACAATGAAGGCTGAGAACTCGTTTTTAAAGTCTTCTGGGTTTTAAAGTAAAAATAAAAGAGATCAAACACAAATGCAGTATGTATTTTATTTTCCCTTAAACAAGAAAGTCTTGTTCCTGCTCAATTTAGAGGTCGCCACAGCGGGTCATCTACCCCTTATACCCAACATCCTTCTCTTTCACACCGTCCTCTGTATTTCCTCCTTCACTACATCCTGCCTGACAGATCCATATTCAATATCCCCTGTCCAATATATCTGTTATCCCTCCTCTTCATATGTTCAAACCATCTCAGCCTTGCCTCTCTAACTTCATCTCCAAGCTCCTCGATGCTCTGATATACATATATTATGGTCACTTAGAATTAAATGAGCACCTGCAACTCTGGCATCTCCGGTTCAGTTCTTTGTCTCTTTGTCAGCATCCTTTTGTCTCTAAACCATGAATCATAGCAAATGTCACTGCCGTCCTGTAAACCTTTCACACTTGGTGTCACAAATCACTTCTGACACCCAAAATTCAAATTCCTTATCCACACTAATGCGTTTTTGTTCAAAAATGCATCGTTTTCTCTCCGTTTTGGCTTCCCGTCCACACTGAAACTACGTTTTTCCCGAAGGAAAACGCATCATTCTCAAAACGCTCTCGAAAACGCATACATTTGATTTTCGAGACTTTCGAAAACGATGACGCATGTTAGTCATGTGATGCAGTCATGTGACCAATTAAACAAAGATAGCGGAGGGCATTATACAGCAGTTTTGTTTGTTCTCAATTTTGACAGCCCTGTTAAAGATTAATATCAGTTTGTACATGCTCCAGATAGCTTTTCTTCAAATTCTTTAACTCTCACTCGCTTTTGCAACTTTGTACTTTTGTGTTACTCGCAACAACAACTCCACCTCATTGTTAGTCCATTTAAAAAACTCTGTGCTTTTCCTCGACATTTTGCAGCGATGTTTCAAAGAGCCGGAAAGTAAATAAACGGCAGACAGAAATGAGGCAGGCCGAATCTTCTTGCGTTTCACGCATACGCAGAACTGGAACCTTAAGCGTTTTCGGCTGTTTCAGGCGCAACTGTGAAAACGACTGGAAACGCCAGTGTGGACACGGAACGTTTTCAGACGAAAACGCCGTTTTCAAATCTACCTGGGCTGGTGTGGATGTAGCCTAAGTTTGAGAACCTCCATCACTTGATTTTGTTAGAGAAAAAATGCTGCAATGGAAAAAATCGACAAAATATCAGAACGACTTTCAAGGGCTGGATGTTCATGAGTACAGCTGTTTAAGGAGAGAAAAGCAAGATGATTAAAGAATGTAAACACATGATCTGGAGTAGGATCAAACGACCTATTGAATAAAACTCAGTTGCATAATTCACACTTTCAATAGAGGGGAAAAATATACAGAAGCAGAGAGAACAACATAAAGACTCATGAGAGAGACAAGACAAGATTGGACCAATACTTGTGCAACTTCAGAAACAGAATGCACAGAGATTAGCAGTAGAGCATGCCAACATTTTTCTGCTCATGCACAAATTGAACCAGACTTTTTGGACAGTTGGGTTGTAAGAACAAGAAGACAATAATACAACTTTGAGAGTCAGATACTTTTTATGATGAGATCAACATTTGGCATACAACTGTGTACACTAAAGGGTAAGTGTTTCCTTCTTTAGCCTGGAAGTAGGCCAGAATAGCATTAGTGGAGTGAGGAGTATCCTCCACAGAATGTTAATTTCCCTTCTTCTTTTTTTTTCTTTTTCATTTAGTTAAATTGCTTTACATAAAATAAAATGATCAAACCATTCATTATTTTTCTTGTAATCTGACCGTTTAAAACAAGTTGTGTGCAAGAAGCATCGCAGAGCCTGTCATTTAAAGCCGTATTCCATTATCCCATCCATTTAACAAATAAGCATTAGCATTCACGGTGACTGCAGCCGTTTGGCAGTCACTCAGTGTTCACCAGTCCTCTGTACACTGACGTGTGTCTCCATTGAATTCTGTGTCTAAATGAATTGCATCGAGGGAGAGGGGGGGGGAAAAATCTGAGAAATAAAATGAGTTAATGGAGCGAATCAATGAGATTCCATTAGCCAGTGTACCACACAGGGATACACAAAACACACACACACACACACACAAACGCATGGACAGGCCACTTAGTTTAATAGCTATGGGTCTTGCGTAGATGCCGGCTAATCAGGCTAATGCCAATCAGCTCCCAAACGATAGTAGAAAGTTCAAAAGGCACACAGAGCCATCTATGGGTGTACATTTCTGTTTGTTCAGTCTTGATAATAGCTTTCTTTGGGCCCTAAGGACTGCATCATGTTCCGGGAATCATATCTACAAATGCTTCATGTATGTTAAACTAGGAGGCAAAGCTCAGCTTGCATTGATCTATAGTTTGTACAAAAGTCTTGAGCCGCCCCTCGTTTCATGGCTTGAAGTGGGTGATCATGAAAATAAATCCAGAAACTGAGATATTTAAGGAAATTTTGATCCACAAAAATTAAAATTTTCTGCCAATTATTTTATGGTTCAGGCTTTAAAGGGGTAATTCTCATCTTGGAAAAACAAGCCTCCTCAAATCTCCACTGTAGAGTCAGGTGTGACAGTAGCTTGACTCACAGATCAAACCAGCTACATTTGGTTTGAAATTTCACAGAATATCCTAAGAAACACCAAAATATTATTTCATGCCACTGGCATTACCTTTAGTGTTGTACTTATACCCCTGATATTTCATGCTGGAGTCTCCATCTTAATGTAACCCGATGTTTTATGAGTCCAAATACATTTTTATTTCAGTTCCACAGTATTTTCTCCCTCAGGATACACTTTAATTCAAAGTCTCTACTGCAATTTTGTAAATTGAACATTACAGTTTCTCTAGGGTTTAGACAGCAGCCTCTGTAAGCTAGAAAAGTAAAAATGTTTGCATCCACGCGTCCTGACTTGATCCCCCCCCCCCTCTTCTGCAGATCGCAGTCCATCTGAAAGATGGCCAGGGTACAGATGGTCTGGCCACCTTGAAGAACAAACCTCAGCTCCACAGCCTTGTGGCTAAGCAGCTCTGCCAGAACATTTCCGGAAAAAACGCCATCATCTTCACTGGGCCATCCATCACGAGCCTCAGCCTCTTCACAGAATTCAGCAAACAAGGTATGCAAAGAAGTTTCTGCAGCAGATTATGTCTGCTGCTTGTTCTTTGCTTGGTCTTGTTCTTTTCCCTTCCCTAATTGTTACTTTGTTGTACACTTTTTAATCTATCTCCATCTCTCCATACCTCCCCTTTTTGCATTTTAAAAAAAATGTGGTTATTCATTTTTAATGATGGTGTGATTATACCATCCCCAGGCGAAACAGCACACACAGGACAGCAGTATTCTCTATTCTATTCTAAGATAAAACTACAAAGCCAGACAGTATGCATGTCGAATAATTTATTTTTTCATCTCTTATCCGTATACTGAGGGTGAACTTGCTAAATTACACAGATGCCTTTGTTACTCTCCCAACAGTGCTTTCACCAAACTTGTCAGTCCCCCAAATTATGTATTTTTTTTAAAGCTAACTAGCATTTAAGCTAACTAATCTGAGTTAAAGGAACTTTGAGTGTGGAACATTATAAGGCGATTGCATCGTCTCCAAACAGCCAATCTGTCTGAGAGTGTCTGCAATTTCAATTTGACTAGATTGATTAATGTTTGCAAATAATTGCCATCTATTTTATAAAAGCGGGCAACACATTGCAGTCAATCAGAGTCACAAAGAAGAATCCACGCACACCCTCGTCATCCTGTTGGGCAGGTGCTGAGTCAAAAAAAAATGTGAGAGAAGAAGAAATAACAGTTCACACACTGAAGAACTCCAGATTCCTTATTTATTGCATCTAGTGACGTTGGTCATCAGACCATCATCTGATCAAGAGCAGGTGTGCTCTAAACATCACTAGATGTCAACTCAAATAGTTGCTGGTTGTATTTGCTAGATAAAAACAAGTTTGGTGAGCGACTTTGCAGTTCAATTGCTGTCTAGCAGCAACTGCGTCCAGCCAGGTTCGGCCTGGACTTTGAATGTAAGCAACTAATGAGTTTGTGTGAATTTCTGTGTAGGTAGATATGCAACATATTTGTGATTTTTGGCAATTTGACACAGTTGATCCCTGTATTATCATAAAAAGATTGCATGTATTTGCCAACTTGATGCAGTTCTGTCACAAACCAATAGCAGACTGAAGGAGACACAGCAAAGTCTCTTTGAAAGTGGCAAATGACTACAAGTGGCCAAGTTTGATAGTACCAGTCTCCAACTGGTTTTCCTAATGTGAGTGTAGCATTAAAAAATTGAACGAATTGTCATGACTGTTAGGATGGATGTGTTTTTTACTAGTGCTCGACATCGATCCTTACAGGTTTGCAATGCACTGCAAAAGATTGTTTATTGCCTTTTGACTTACATAGTAAATCATGAAAGATTAAGCGTTTTGCCTTGTTGGAGCTTGAAAAATCAATAGACAGGTAAAGTAGACACTTTACCGGACACTTCATTCAAACACCTGACAATGAAAATCTGAATCAAAAGTGTTTGAGTCACTCTCAGTATGTTTTATTCATAATCTGTGGCGGGAGTCATAAAACCGATGCTTTTGTTTCGGAGATATTGGGATTTAAATGTTTTAATGCTGTCAATCCAGCTGTGATACTCTGATATTTGTGCTCATTATACATTTTTATTTTAATATGAAAATATACATTTACTTTGTTTGCTTCTTTTACATTAATACTGAAAGTGGGATAATGTGAACATGCTATAAACGCTAAACACAATCAATGCAAGCAGAGAATAAACATTCAGCTCAACAGCTCCTCTGATAAGTTTTCATTTTTACATTTTGTTTTTGTATTTTTGCTGAAGAATAATTGGCAATTTTAAACTCAACCAAGCGGAGCTTCATTATGTCAAGAAAATGAAGCCTGCCGATATAATCATCATTTTCTTTTTCTAATTAGTTGGATCAGCCCAAAAAAGCCCAGTTCTGAGCCTGTGAATGCATCGTCTGACATCTTTCCTTCAAATTTATCTTGCTGGATTAATTAGCTGAGGTAATTACTCCATATTACTCCGCAGTACTTACTGTGGACATGCGTGCATGTACTACACAGATAGAAATCAGTTTGCAAATGGAGACCAAATCAGCGGCAGTCAGCCAGATGATTGTTTTGTGTCTGCTGGATGGAAAAAAAAAAGAGAAAGTTTCAGGAAAGAAAGGGATACACAAAAATCACTGCAACTAACAATCACTCCTGACTTTAATTGTTGACTCATTTTTTCCCTTAAAGAATCACTCAATAATTTAGTGTAGTGTATAAAATGACTAATGCCCATAGCAATTTCCCAAAAGCCCTAGCTGACAGATTTGATTAGTCCAATCAAGACTGCAAAAAAGCATTCATTTCACACAACAGAAGTCTTTTGAGAAACTGTCTATTAGTACAATTCTCTGCTCAGAAGCCAGTTTGTCAGATAATTGTGTCCAAAATGCATCAAAAGGCAAGAATATCACAAGCACAATGAAGACGTCCAGTAAAAATAAATTGAGGCGGCACGAAGCAGATAGCTGCCAGCTGTGCCTGCAGCAACATGTCATCCCAAGGTGGTTCGCCCTTAATTATGAGTCATTTTAAGCCTTAGTACAATATATACGAGTGGGTTATACAAAAATTCACCTCCAGACGTTGGCTATGAATGGGGGAAATTATCCATAGAGAATGTAAAGATGTTTATTTCTACTGCAACATTGTCCATTTTATCATGACAGTATATTCTCCTTGTCGAAAACCAAAAAGAGCCTTCAAACTGAAAGTTCTCCAGGAGTCAGAAAGCAGGTGGAACTGCCATTAGAGACCTTTGCAGTTTGGAAAACAACCCTTCCTCAAATAACCATGCAAACGGCTCAAAAGTGGAGAAATGATGACTGCAAAATTCCCTAAGCTGTTTTGCGGAAAGCTCTGGCACCTGTATCGCCGGAGATAACCTTAGAGCAACCCTAATTTACAGATTCTTAGTAATCAAATGTCCAGGAAAGGACAGTTTCAAAGACTTTGCATACTTATTGTGGAAGGATGATCGCACCTACACCTTTAAGACCACCCATGAGTACTATTTCCAGATGGTTGGACAGATGGGGGGGGTCACTGGTATGAAATGGTGTGATTATCTTTGTCAGGTGTAAACAGGACTGTTGCCTGGAGCACATCTGCTTCAACCCTGAAGAATGGGAGAACATAAAATCCAAACTTGACTCTTTTTCTTTTTTTATGCATGTCCTCCCTGCCTTGTACAGCCCAGTTATAGGAAAAAGACAATGAATCATATCTACTGCATTTTCAAATTAAAATGTATTTGTTTTTTGCAGCACAGTTCTGCAAATGTTTCTGAGTTAACGCCTCGTTAATAGTTGATGACGTGGTTTTACCCTCAAGTGGCCATTTTAGGAACTGCAGTTTTTGCTATTTGCCACGATCATCCTATTTGTCTCTCTGTCCCTCTCCAGATATCTATTGCTGTGGTTTGCTTAGCACCAGGAAGAGCGACTGTACAGGCTTACCGCAAAGCATGCTGGTCTGTGGCTCCACGCCTGCTCAGCGTGGCCAGTCTCGCATAATGATGAAAGGCAGCATGTCGCTGATCAGCTGGTACAACAAAGGACACTTCAGGTTCCTTGCCAATGCCTATTCCCCAACAAAAAAAGGTAAGAAGGTCATTTCCCAAAGCATTTCCCCACTACAGGAAACTTCGTTTTTCCTGGAATTAAATAAAAGGAGCTTACTATTAGAAATTATTAATATTTCAGTGCACAAAATCCATTAATTTTAGTAGAAAAACACAAAAGCAAAGACTTTCGGTTGTCATTATTAAGAATTAGGAGTTTTTTGGGGGAAACTTTGGCTAACTGTACTGTCATTTGTGGATGCAAGTCACCATCTAGAGAAACTGGCATATCATTAAGCATTTATGTCACAGAGAATCAGTGCGAGCTTCTAATCCGTGGTAATCCATTTCCAGGAGGCGCCAAAAATCATGATATTCCCTTCCTCTTATAGAATAATCCACTCTTCATTATCCAGTTTTGTTAGGTTTTAAGTAAATGAAGGTAGCAGTCTGCGTTTGTGCTCTTTGAGTGAAGAGTGCTGCAGTGAAGCAGGAAAAGTTAGGCTGTTATCATCCGGCATTGATTTTCCTTTCCCCTCTGCGTGTATATGTGTGTGACTGTTTTTCACTTTGTGCTTGTAGTACTTAATTGATGGGTTTTACTTTTGTACTGCCAATAATTATACGGTAATTAGTTTAAATGGGTCTAGTTTTTGCCTCTCACTGTGTTTGCGTCAGGGCTGATCATTAAGAGGAAAAGTGGGGAGATCCCGTGTCCTTTGGCTGTTGAGGCCTTTGCGGCACACCTCAGCTACATCTGCAAATACGACGACAAGTATAGCAAGTATGTGCACCGTTTTACACAACATTACTTGTTACCAAGAATATTTTACACCACAGTGAATTTTAAATCAAGCAATCAAGATGTTTTCAAACTTTCAACTTTAATTCAGGGGCTTTGACTAAAGTGTTACATTAGATTTGGGGGTTTTACACACATTTTTATACGTAGTGCTCGATTTTCCGAGGCTCAAAGTAATTAAACAGACTGAAATTATTTCAAATGTGGTGATTGTTTTTATTATTTGGATAAAAATCCTTTGTAGTCCATGACTGCCTGACGTCTACATCCCATGGATTTCATCAAATGCTGAGTTTCTTGCCATGAGATGCTCTGCCAGGCTTTAACTGCTGCCACCTTCAGGTCTTTCTACCTTCACTTTTGAATTTAATAAGTAAAAAGCGTGCTCTATTGGATTGAGATCAGGTAGCTGACTTGGCCATTGAAGAATATCCTTCTTCTCTGCTTTGCGCTTGCAGTATGCTCTGGGCCATTATTCCTTTTCACTGTGAAGCACTGTCCGATCAATTTTTCACCATTTGTCTGAATTTGAATCTGATCTCATCTCACTAGTGACCTGGTTTCACTGGCAGCCATACATGACCCTACTTCCACTATATTTGACAGATGAGGTTGGATCATGAACTGTTCTGTCTTGCTCAATACTTTTCTCTTGGTTTAATTTGTCCAAATATATTTTTTCAGAGCTTTGCAAACTTATTTTAGATGTTTTCCTGTATAGTCTTATTTGGCCTTCTTGTTCTTGATTGTAACCAGTGGTTTGCACCTTGTTGTGAACACTGTACTTTCATTCATTAAGTTATCTGTTGATTGTAGACTTTTACAACGATACATCCACCTTCTCAAGAGTGTTCTTGACTTGGTTAGATGTTGTGAAGTTGTTTTGTTTTTTTCCACTACAGAAATAATTCTATGATTGTGTCCTTTTTTAGTTTTCTTCTGTGGTCTTTTTTGGGTGTTACTGAGCCATCCAGGTCATTTCTTCTTTTTAAACCTGCTGATTTGGCCCTTGTTTGCACTGAAATTGCTTTGGATCTCATATTTTTTTTAAAAAACAACACGCAAGTTCAACACTTGGAATAAATGTGTTCACCTGTTCATAAAACTATATCCGTCAATTGTCCAATTAATTTTAAGCCTCTAAAAAAATGGAGGAATATGTATGACTGTAAAAAAAGTTAACATTAATTAATTAAAGCTAAAAGTCTGAACTTCGATCACATCTTGATTGTTTGATTTAAAAACCCAGAGACAAAATTGAAAAATCTGTTGGGCCTATATGTTTTTGGACAATAACTATAGATAGTCAAACGAAATCATATTATTTACATCTTTGCAAAGAGATTCAGCAGTCACCGGCTCATTTCTCCACACAGGTACTTCATCTTCCACAAGCCAAACAAGACATGGCAGCAGGTGTTCTGGTTGAGCATCAGTATTGCCATCAACAACGCATACATCCTATACAAGATGTCTGATGCCTACACAGTCAAACGCTACAGTCGAGCGCAGTTCGGAGAGAGACTGGTCAGAGAGCTGCTTGATCTAGACGACTGCTCCCCCACGCAGTGAGGAAGAGAAGGAGGAGGTTGATGAAGACAGAAGGAGCTCACAACAAAAACACTTAACACAACCCCCCTCCCCCCACACACACACACATACATTCACGCTCAACCTTACAGACTTTGCAGTCTGTGTCTATGTGATAATACTGAAGCAGTGCCAAGCCTATTTCTCTCTTCCTATAGTGGTTTTTGTGGCTCTGTAAATATTCATTAACACACAACTGCATATTACACAATAATCGTGAGCCATGAGACTCGACTGCAATCATTAACCCCGCAGATTTACTAAGGATTTGTCAACAGGAGCTTTTTCACAAGCAGAGCTGAATGATGGAACAGGAAAAGCAAGAAGATTTCACTCCTAAATGATGTCAGCTTCAAGTTTTAACGAGTTAAATTATTTATACAAGCCTGAATGAAACTTCTGCACAAAGTGTCCAAACCCCATAACCGTCAGGCTGAAAGGCTACATGTAGCTCAATATTTACACTCTGCAAAAACACCTGTAACAAAGTCTTAGTAAACCAGGAATAAGGTGTGTTCACACGCTGCATGCGTTAAGAATCTCGATTGTGATGTTTACTTGTTCGGTGTGAAAATGATTTCTGCTCCAGGTGAGTTTTGAAAATTTGTACGTGTGTATTTAGTAAGTGGAAACTGCCGTTTGTGTGTGCGACATTGAGCCAGAGGATGTAAATGTATGGCTTTTGTGACCCAGATGTGTTGTGTTGCTGCATATTGTACCTATGAGAGAAAGTCAGTCGCTATAAAGCCACACCCAGCAGTGTGCCACAGCTCCACAGCCTCCCAGAAAAGACCAAAAAAAGTCTTTAAAAAGTTCCTGCTTCCAGTTTTTTTTAATTGTAATAAGTAATATGAAATAAACGGCAATAAAGTTAAAGCTAGGAAAACATTCCTAGGTTTTGTTTTGTTTATCAAAGAGTTTGCTTCTTGAACTCAGGTTAGCTGTGTGTGTAGGTGTTGATTTTATTTGACCACAGAAATTAACAACTCCACAACTGTTACCAAATATTACCCAATCTTGATTGGTACACATATATGTGACTTTTTCTGTAGGATTGAAAGGCCTATACAAAGGAAGCAATTAATAGACTAGTTAATAAACAGGCATTCAGGGTCTTTAACAACAACTCTAACAACAAATGCTGTCACATCTGCGTCCCGTTTTTGTACCAAGAACACTTTTTTTTGGCAGGAAACTCGTCATAATCATGTGATTCATTACACTTTAGTGTACTTAGCTTTGCGAGGAAGAACATGTTCAAATCTCCTCGATTAAATGAGCCAGTGTTGCTAGGCAATGAGTATAATCTTGGCCAATGGACAGGGATTTGGGTAATATTCCTTGGCCAAGATTTAAGTCCAGAAAGTAAAAACTAAATCACTGGTGGCTTATAAAACGTCTTAACAAAACAAATGTTTGAACAAATTATATATTATTATATTTTCTCAGTTGTTTTTGGCACATTTCACCAAACATTATTTCTCAGCACATTTTTGAAAAATGCACGTCCCAAAATTTTACTCTGTCAGTGAATAACTCTCTGTCCTCACAAATCACACAATGGTAAACCGAGCTGCTGAAAACAAATTTTTCATCAGAATGACCGACTAGACGTGTGTTCCTAATCTTTGTCATTTCCAAAATGTTTTTCCCAACTTTACATAGCACAATACAGACCAAAAAAATGTCTCCCTTTGCAGGTTTTGCCTGTTTCTAACAACCTGCTGTCACACTGTAGCTCTATAAATGTGTTTTATAGCACTCTTACACCTGAATTACACCTTTTATGCTAACCTGATCGTGTATCCCATCGGTTGATCTGAGAGGAATGTGTTAAACCAAACACCATGAAGCTTCTTACTTTGGAGCGGAAAACTAAATATAAAGAAAGCTGACCTGCCTCGAACAAAAAGACACATACAGTTAATAACTGTTAAAAATTCGAGACAATAGTGATTAGTCATCAGGCTAAATGTGCTAAATGATTTGCAGTACGCCACCAGTTCACAACATCCCACGCTAAAGAGTTTAGACACGACAGAAAGAAACTTTCTTAAAGCCCCTGAAAACTTTGTTTCAAAGTTGATTTCATGTTGTTTCAATATGTTCAACTGTCAATCAGTAAATGAGCCAAAAACACCCCCCCAGGCTATAACACTGCTGTCTGTAGCTTTAACAAGGACAAGGTCAACACTTTATTGTTGTGCTGAACCGTGTCATGAAGACTGTAAGTGAAAGGTGTCGGTGCGTGCTTGCCCCATCAGCATGGTTCAAAGTGTGTATTCATATACTGGTATGATGACAGTCTTTATGCTGGTAAAGCAGAGTTGCTGAGCGAATTGGTCCCACCCCCGTCACACTCTTGCACTTTGAGGAGAGCTATAAAGTCAGCAACACACATATTAAATAATAATTTTATTTTGATTTCAAATTGAAAAAATAAACGATTCTCTGCTCTCACAGATGAATTTTGTAAATATTAGTAGATACATGAAATAGATTGTATTAAAAGAAAATACACCAATGATATATGAATGAAATTTAATGACTGTAACCAAAACAGAGAATTCTACTTCCACTGTAGATTTAGAGAAAGTGCAGTACTGTACGTCTGTGTATATTTTGTTTACAAATTACTGTGAGTGTATGTCCATAATCACACTCTTACTGACACTCGAGATTGTGATTTCTTATTAATCTTTTTCACTAATCCAAAGCATTGTTGTCGCCGTTACTCTTGCCTGTGTGTATGTGAGAAAAAGCCACTGAATGTTGTAGCATTGTTCACCCCGAAGTAACACTCTGAATCTTAGCCGGCTCTTCTATCGTGTCAAATGTTTGTCAACTCCTCCTTCGATTACAATATTTGATATCCACAGATTTGTGTAGTTTGCCATTCACTTGAAGTGTATCATAATGTCGACATGAAATACAGACGTAGACACTGTAGAATCAGTCTGCCACCGTGCTGCATTCACTGGCAACACTCTCCGAGCTGAAACAATGAAAGTAAATTGGACCATTAGATGGATTTTGTTTTAATAACACAAATTGTGCATTCTGCATCATTTACACAGGAAATGCAAAGCAACTCTTGCTACTGATGAGCACTTGTGTTTCATAGAGGGTTTTTTTCTATTATGCAATTTTCATTTTAACTCTTTAGGGAATGAAGAATTAATTTCTATACAGATGAATTAAAAATCTCCGTTTCCATTTTATGCACATTTTAAAAACGATAAGATTCAATCATTTGAGGTTTGACTGGAGCTCTTAATTGTGTCAGCCTGCTCCTATTTAAATAATCAATTACTGCAGAGATGTTAATGCTAAAAAGTCCAGCTCTCTATCATTATCCCTGTGCAGTAACTATCTAAGTGATTGTTATGGGTCACTGTGTATCAACACTACATCTATTAGTGTGAGTTTCTGAACACGTTTCAAGGCCATTAATAGATGGACAATAGACTTTTTTCTAATATATTCGACTTATCCAGTTCACGGTTGCAGCATGGAGTCTGTCTCAGATGTCAGAGGGTAAAAAATGAGGTATATCCTGGGCAGGTTACCAGTCTATTGCAAGGGGTTAATTTTATCTGTTAATAAATAATAATAAAACATCCCAGTAACTGTCGATAGATTGCTATTTTGGAGAAAAAAGTAAGGCTAAGCCCCTTAAAGCCGGAAATCTTGACATCTGATTGGCATTTAAAGCCTTAAAAAACTTAAACCAGAACACAGTGGGTCTTACTACAAACATGTGAGTGTTTTGTGTCTTTTTACTTTTGAATTAAGTCTGATATCTTCCATTAATGCTCATACATCTAGACATAATATGTAGACGTGAGAAAACAAGATGTTAATGATAAAGAAGGGAATTCTGTGGAGCCATTAGGTCAAAAATATTTGCCTTTCATTTGAATTCGTCAGGAAGAAAAAATGTTGCCCAAACGTTAACTGCATGTAAATTATTACAAAAAGATAACCTGAAATTAGTCAGACTCATTTCATGTGTGTTTGTGCGTTATGTACCGGTTTATCATCTCCACACAGTGTCTCACAGATGTCTGTCGCTATCTGTGAGACGGATGTAATACTGAAGCATTTTGATGAGCGATAGCTTTGGACATGTTAAAGATTTCAAGTGACTGACCTCAGGGCTTCATGACTAATTGCTGTACTATATATTCACTCACACAAATAGCATATATACCCTTATCAGGTGCTTTCAAACCACTGTAGATTTATTGCTCTAATCAGGAGCTTTTTTGCAAGAGTTGTACCGCTATTATTTCCAGATAAAATGTCAGAAATAACAATATTACTAAACACCAAAATGTGGTAAAAATGTTCCGCTTCCCATGATTCTGGATTGAAATGGTGGCTGCAGGATGTGGCATAAGCGATTACTGTGGGCTAAGTGTTATCTAGCTTCACAGAAGTGCCAGAAGGATGTGTGTATGTGCATGTAATGTTAAAGCTGGCTGTGTTTGGAAAAAAAATGTAATAACCGGTGTATGCTGGACCAAATAACTTTCTAAAATGTGTGTGGTGATGAGCTGTACAACGTTGTCGTGTAAATGTGTTTTCATTAAAACACCACTCATAAGTGCCACATTAAAGAGTTGGAGAGACTTATTATTCGTCAGGTAACTGTAAATCACAAGGAATGCTGAGACTTTGTGTCAAATGTGCGTCAGAGCCTGACTTGTATCTCATTTTTCCACAAAGTTTCACTTGGATCTAATGCAATCCATTTATAAAGAAATTTCAAATCAGAAGTCATTCTCACTGCGCTTAATGCAATTCTCAAATCAGTAACGCATTAGCCTTTCTCATTGTTTTTATACATCCTGCTATGGTTTCTGTGCATACTTCACTGCTAAAGATATTTGTTATTGTGTTGTTGCACTTTTCACTTGTATCTCACAACTCACCAAGAGCATTGAATTAGTGTTTTCAATCAAATCAGCACAAGGTGGTGAAAACATTCCTTAAGAGATTTGGTCTACTGGGATTTTCTTGGACAACCATCTGTAGGCTTTACGGTGAACGGTCTGAAAAGGAGAAAATAAATCCAGTTTTGTTGGTGAAAATACCTTTTTGATGTCAGAGGAGAACGACAAGACTACTTTGAGCTGAGGCAACAGTAACTCAGTCAGCCGCTCGTTATAAATGAGGTATGCAGAATAGAGCTGGGCGATATGAGATTTTTTCATATCACGATATGTTTTTTTC